AACTTTATTCTGAGGGAAGCATGTTAAAAAACCCCTCAGAAATTTACCCTTCCAAAGCAAATAGACCTGGTTTGAGCCTTAACAACTGAGTTGTTTTCTAAGTTAACGAAAACATGAGAGTGAGATCAGAATACCTGCTTCCTGCTACAAGAAGACGTTTGGCATTATCCAGACCCTTTGATGTCAGCTCCATAAACACCCTTTCCAATATTCTGCTTCCAACAAAGGAGAATCGCTCTGAAAAACACGAAGTAAAAAAGTCTTGTACCTACGGCATGGGATTGTAGACCCCCTCAAACTACTGTAGGTAGTTAAGACTGACCGCAGAGCTGGATGTGATGAAATCTTAAAAAATCTCACAGGCGTAAAGCTCTTTGCTTGTGATCAATTATTGGAACGAAGTATCAGGAGACGTAATGAAATATAAAGGAAGGTAAATGAACAGGTGTGTACCTCCTGTTTCACTGGCGGATGCATTGCCAATCCATGCATCACTTGAGCAATACGGTATATACCTGACGACAAAGTAACAAACATTAATAACTTTTGCTTACAAGTAGGTACACGTCGGTCATGAATACATACAAACTTCTTTCCCAAATGGTAAAGGAAGTACACCGCGGTTTGCGAATCCCGAAAAATTTGGTCGGAATTGCGCTGGCCTGTAAGCGGGCTCTCATTACACCTCTTATTGCACCACAGCACAAGCGGCGAAGAGAGATTTGATCCGGCGAGCAAAGCCAGCGGCGAGTGAGAAGTCCACGAGGGGTCTGGCACGAAAACACCTCTCGCACTCGCCCGCGTTCGAAACGCGTGCGCCTTGCCGGTCGTGTCGTTGAAGTACCGAAAACATCCTGCTTGCAGGCCAGAATTTACATGTTTGTCAATGAATGTGTCAATCCTATCCATCCCCCAATAACTCTTTAACTCCTTTGAGCGACTAAGAAGGAGAATTTCTCTTTACAGAAACAATACAATATCAAGGAGACAAGTGGGCAGAGTAAAGAAAAATATCAGTTGATCCAATACCAAATTCTCCAGAATAACATTATAAGAATTTTGGCAGACAGTAAGGAGAATTACTAACGAGATCTTGGAGTGAAAGAGTTTATGCTCTGTTTATTCTTAACTCTCTGGTTTTTGTTACCCGACTCCACGACTATTTCAACATTTTATTCTCTTCGAGGGAAATAGTTTTTGGGCTAAAAATGACTCCGGAAATTATTTATACGCAGCTCTCAAATCCTCTTCTATTAAAGAATCGGGTCATTACGCACGAACTTTTCTTGCAGCTTATGACATAATGACATGAACTTTCTTTCTAACTACATGCACTAGCTTTGGTTGCACACCCCAAAAAAATAATTAATAATATGAAAATCTTACACAAGATTTGCATTCCACCAGGTTGGATTTAGGACTGGGTCAGATGACAGGATTCCCGTGCCTAACAAAAAGGACAAGACAGCAGAAGAGGTCAGCAAATCAGGCGTATATTTTTTTATTTTTTAACCCTATAAAATCACGAGAAAGAGTCAGGTATAAGTCCGAATCGATCTTTAAGAGCTGTGTTAAGTTATTCATAGAATCACGGAAGGTGGTCTCACGGTCTAGTACGGAGGTAAGGGTGTATATTTTCCTTCTAAAAAAAATTTATCGCACTAAATATAACTCGCTCAATCTGCCAACCAAATTTAAACGGATGTTCCCCAGTGCGGAATGCTGCTGGAGTGCAGTCAACGTCAGAGGAGTTAAGGTCTAATCTCCGCGTGCGTTTAACAGACTCTACCTTTTTGCCAGGGAATTCCAAGGTGGTAATCAAGCAGAGAAGATAGAGAATTTTGCTAGAAAATGTGTTGCGCTTGCGGAAGTGTTGTTTTGCTCGCTAACCAACTGTTTTTTTTGTTGTTGTTGTTTTGTTTTTTTTTTTTCTTACGTTTTTGCTGTCATCCTTTCGTGGTTTCTTAAACTCGACATAACTGTGCGTATACTTCGCTCGCGTTGTTTGAATTTCAAGGTAAAGAACGTACACAGTCCTGCACAGGAAGTCGAAAATTCGCGACACAGGTTGGGCTATTTTTAGATTCTTTTAGGCACTCCGAAAACGGGGATCTAAAAGTAACTTAAGGGGATTAAGTGAGAAATAATACCTATCTAGGGGATACATGTTCTTTAATTGATCCTCTAGTAGGAGTATCCACTATCTGAAAAATTGCCAGGGCATTCCATGCAGGATAAACATTTACTTGGATACTCTCAGTCATTTTATGCCGCAGAAAATAAAAAGGGACACAAAGCGGAGAGTTTTCCGCCTTGGAATCTAGAAGAAGAGTTTCATTTACGTCATACCAAATCTAAAAGAGCTCCACGTAGCAGAAGACATCAAATATTTCATCTTAGAATATCTCGCGTTGCAAGACTCCGAACTGGTACAGAACTCACCGCCTGGTGAGAAAACAAGCAGAATCAAAGATTAGAGAGCAGATGATGAGGGACATTGTGATTTGGGATCCTGCCGCTTTAGGCGGTACGCTTTTAAACAGATTGACTTCTAAGTGTTTACAAAAAGAAAATAGAAACAGAAGCAGATCTTGCATCCGAAGGAAAAGAAAACCACAAGAGGGTGTGTCTAAATTAGGGGCTGTATGAAATACTTCAGCAGTCAAAATATGCTGAAGAACCAACAGGAGACTGAAAGTACTTTCTACCTTTGGGAAGTTATGATATTTTTGCAAAAGCGTTGTTTTAACCCTTTCCGGCAAAATGTCTTGTTTTCGCTATGTGCTGCTGGCAGACATAGAATAGAACCTCCGCGAATGATATTATAGCAACAAAACAGAGAGCAGATTTTAAAATTAAGACCAAATCAAAAGCCGCCAGAACTTATACAGTATTTATAATCCACTATCTTTTACACTCAAAATTTCTGTTTCCCCAGTGAATTACGGTACGAAAAAGAAAAAAAAAAAAAAAACTTGGCGGAAATACTAGCAACTGAGAGGATCAATTCAATTTAAGGGGTTACTTGCAAACGGGTCCTCTAAGACGACTGTATCCAAATATCCGATAAACCGCATTAAAAGCTTCCCAAAAAATAGAGGAAAAACAACAGGAAATACCAATGAGAATCTGAACTGTTAAAAAACTTATCGATCCTGTGCGAGATACTGGCTCTTCAAAAACACTGCAATTTTCTTTTCAGCTGCAAATTACCCAGAGCCGCGTCGAAGAATGTCTCGTTATTCCAGCCTATCGCTAAGGTTGAATGCTCGCTGTAATGTACGTTAATGTGCTAAGCTCAGTTTTAGACAATTCTCTCTTTTTTTACATTTTAAAAAACAGACCATACTGTTAGAAGGTGATCATAACATCTCCCCTTTTAACCAGGCTAAACAAGATAAAAGAAGATATTTTCAGCAAGCGCTTCTGCTCATTCTAGCGTCCGATTAAATTTTACCTTCTATGAAACACTTAACGACATTTCTCGTAATTCTTTGGATGATACCCCTAATCCTATTCAAACCACATCTGTCCCCTGACATGTTGATCCTCTTTGTTACTCAAATTGAAGGAGAGCGCTCTTTCGGATCAACGCAATCAGTATTCATCGAACGTTGAACATTCAATATCAAAAGAACGACATTCCAAACAAACTGCGACCATTAAAGATACAATTGCCTGGTCGGGAAGAAAGCGAAATTTTCTTTTATTTTATTTAACCGAATCTTTCCTTCTTAGGTATCCGACCTTTTCTCGGCCCGGAGGATACGAAGGAAGTCCGTCCGAAACACTTTTTCACTTTCATGAAGTTGTAAAAATCCCTGCGTAAACTTGGATTAGCGCACAATGAACAAAAGACAGGGTGACACGATGCAATTGTTTTTTCAACAATCAGCAAAGTGATTGCAGCTTTACATCCTGAAGAAAATTGTTTCGCGTGATCGTTTATATGAAAGCTATCATTATAGCTAAAGTAAAGTGTCTAGGCGATTGGCTTTCTTCCATGCTACATTTACCGAAAGAACTTCCGACTTAAAGGTGTTCTGCCTTCAAAATTAAGGACATGTTGATAAGATATTTTTGTAACAAGTTTACCGAGGTATTGTGGGACAAAGATGTGTTTTTTCTTAATCTTCTCAAATTTATTTAAAACCCTGATAAAGGACAATTTGTAAGCTAAGTCAAAACTAAAAACACACAGACTGATTTATACTTACCCGCCAAATACACAATCCATCTTTTACTACCATGAGCTTTCCTCAAATAATACCTGCCAAAGAAACGAGGAAACACTGAGAAGAAAATAAATACATATTTATGAAAACTTTTCGTAGTTGCTTTATTTATCTCTTTTTATTGAATTTGCTGTTGATTTTATTGCTCTCGATTTTATATCCATGTAGTTCGTTAGTTGTACAATGGTCGGCTTAGAGCCAAATTCTGAAAATGACCCGAATGCAAACACGTTTGCAACGGGAACCAAAAAACGAATTCAGTGTGCAGTAAAAGTTGCGACATCTATTTTATTTTGCTGGAAAACAACATCCTTTCTTGTGAAATAATGAATCTCAGAAAAGACACTGATTAATGATGGTTAATGTTTAGCTTTGTCGTCAAGTAACAAAACTGTATTGTTTTAATACAAAGAAGAACTTCTTAGTCCCCTCCCCACAAGATTCCAACTGCAAACCTTCAGATTTATCAATTGAATATTTGACTTCTGAGCCACAGCTAAACGAAGTCTTTCTCGAATTTTATTGGATTAGAGCAAGGCGAGATCCCCCTTTTTGTTACTTAACTCCGTTAAATAACCTTTAGATAGCCGCATTTTAATCTGGCACAAGGCAGAAACCTCCTTGATTGCTAAAAGGCTGGCTTAATGTTTGAACATCTAGATATTTTCTCGGTTCACTGAAACAGTTCCAAATCTATTAAAAGGATTTGAGGGTCCCGCTATCAAAAGAGTTAAAATTGTTTTGGTTAGTTGGATAAGGTATTCGGAGCGTTTGAGAAATTTAATTCAGAATAAAAGAAATAATTATCAAATTAATAGCGTGATTAACAAGGATTTGACGATGACTGCAAAATTGGCGGAGATTTGCGACACACAGGAAGGTAACGGAATCTATCACTTTATTTACTGTGCAGTAACTGCCAAAGAATTCCCTGCAGCATTTGTAAACAAGACCATGTATGGGTGTTTTTCGTGAGATTGACCAAATTCGTCAATCAATGCTATTGATAAGTGATGAACTTGCTAACTGAAGCCCAATCAACAAGTGAATGCTGACAAACAACCAATCAGTGTGCGAAATCTAAAAAGAGGACTTGACCAAGAAGAAGCAGACAAACTTAAGTCTGCCAGTATTTGAAAATTTCAATCTTGATAACTACCTTTTTGAAAAGTTTTGAATATTCCAAAACACGATTTCAAAAGCAGGAAGGAAAGATTTTGTGCTGGAGCCAACATCATGACAAAGAAGAATTATAGTGTTTTTCATCATAACTGCAAACATCTGTTCTTTTAATGGAGTTTTCTGGGAACAAGGCTGACTTCAAAGGTATTCGGCTTTTCATCAAATTTCATTAACTATGAATCAAAAGAAATTTCTATATTATTTATTCTTTGCTTGATTATATTGTAATAATGAAGTTCTTTATTCTTTTTTGGCGATTTATTTGTACAACTGCTTGAGGAAGTAAATCGAAAGTGCTTCGCTCACTTCACGTACTGGTCAATTGAGTTAATGCCTTGTTTTTTATCCTTCGATGATTCCGTATTGCATTAAGCTGGCATAAAAACAAAATTCCTGCTTAATTGAAATGCTGGCAACAAAGAACTGCAGGAATAAAATGCTGGCAAAGTCGAGATGTAAGAATCTTAATAATTAGTTTCCTTCAATTTAAAAATTAATCTTATAGATTAAAACAGAACTTAAAGAATTTCCGGAAAACTCGTTGTAATAAAAATATTATCGTTCACGTTTCATATAGATATCTTCAAATCTGCACTTAGATTTTGTGATAATTTTGGCGGTTTGATGCCACTTATGGCTTATACTCTGATTCCATATTCAACCCTCGGTCAAAATATGATTTTTAAACTTCCCGTTAACCTGACAGTAATTCCTTCGGCACGCGGTCAAGAACACGTTTGGGCGTTGAGTTTGTTAAGGAAAGCTCTATGTAAACACGAACTTGACGTTTGAACATTGAAGCAATGCGAGACCTGCGCAAATTATCACGTATTGTGAGTAGTGATTCTTGTTTCGATAACTGTTACATCGACAATCATTCTGTCAGCACAAATATTGCTTTCTACCTTAGAACTTACCCTGCTGGTGTACCATCGTTGCATGTAACGTTTCTGTCAGTAAGATGGTGTAACTTCATCATAAATAGATCGCGCGACTGAGGGCACTGTTTCGCCAGGTGAACGAACTGTCGAGGGCCCTCGTTCAACGATTCTTGCTGTAGGTCTATGCTGCAGTCAACAAGAGGAACACCCAGAAACGCCCAGAAAAACATCGCTGTGAAAACAAGGAACTGCCGGGAAAGATAAACACAAGAAGGAAAATATTTTTGTCATTTGTTTTCTAAACATGGTGTGAATCAAATATAGTTCGAGAGCTTTGAGTCTTTGTAAGAAAGCAAGATACCGATTTTATGAATTGTTCTACAACACGACGATTGAATAGGCCCAGTTGGTTTTTTTCTTTTGAAAAACACCATTTCTTCTGCGAGTATTACTTGCACAAATATCACAAAAGTTGTTCTATAAATAAAACGTTTGAATTAGTTGTTTTCTCGGCTTATTTTTGCCACGGCTTAAAGTGCGTAGCCATCGTGTGAAAACAAATTAAGGGTTCGACATAATTGACTAAGTATTTACAATTGTGACAAATTAGTATCCTAAATGCGTTTAAATTAAACAACTTGCGAGAACCGCTCATTTTGATCTAAAATAATCTATGATAAAATTTAAAGAAGAAACTGAACACCAAGATCTACCTTCAAGAATTCACTCACCATTTTCGATGCTAAAAATCAACTAGTTGTCCTTTTAAACGCTGCAATCTGGTTAGTTGTTCAACCTGAAAAAAAAAATCGCCCGGCCTCAAAGTAACCGTTTTTTTCACGCCGTGTGATCTTTTATCACGGCAATAAAACACGCTTACAACTCCAAGAATGGACTACCTGCGTCGAAACCAACGGGACACTATAAGTGACGACCAGAAATAGATAACACAGTGGTGCTCGACTAGGTTATATAGTTGTGAACTTCGCTCTCTATTGGACGCGGTAACTTTAAAGCTTTATCCTAATTGCTCAATTATTTAACTCCATGACCGTGTGAACCGCAAAGTTAATTCTGGACGCTTCAATTACACACCCAAGCACGTTATTGGAGCAGCCTCTAATACTTAATGCAATGATATCCATCTAATTCAAATATTTACGTTGCAATGCCCCCATACTTTTATGGTTTATTCTAATTGCTGGAATTAAACGACAAACAGTAGCACGTGTAAGTCTTGGGGCGCGCGTGATCAAAACCTAGATTGTTCTAGAGACGAATTTGCGCGTTATTATTTCCTTCAAGGGAAAAACGTAGTTTTTTCTCGGTGAAACCAATTAAGCCTGTAAGACCATTTCTCGCGTTCCTACCCACATGGGACCCGTTTGGCGGTTGATCAAAAGAATGATTTAATTGTAACCCGCAGGATCAAAGGTAAAAAGGAAAAGACCGCATTGGCGGACACTGTTTTTGCTTCGGTGTAATCGTTTGTACAACGAACGAATGCGACCCCGGGAAGCTCGCGAAAAACTTATACAATAGGCCGATCTTGAAAGCACTTAGAGACGATAACTTAATCCGTCCGTGTATAAATTCCGTCCAAATCTGCGAACCGATGTCACGAAATGTACCGCCCTTATCGCCAGTCGTGTTTATGTGCTCAGTAATGCGAGGAAACAAATGAAAATATGATAAGTTTATCACATCAGCGCAATCAAATAGAACAATCGAAGACAACGTGCTTTTAATCGTTCTCAAGCCAAGCAATTTTAAATGAAGAAAGGAAACGTACTGGGCAAGCTTCTAAAGAGAAACATCGATCAATATGCGGTGTGTTAGTTAAAGGCTTGTTAAGGGTCCAACTAACTAACCTGCTGACTAACTTGCTATTGCGCTACTCCTCATCAGAGGTTGCTTGACGTAATAAGGAGGTAAAGGTGTTCTGACAAACACAGTTTTGTAAAATGAGGGCATAATGCGGTCACTAACTATCCTGAAGAGCGTAAGGACTTGGCTAAAAAAGATAAATTAAATTCAATTGTAAATAAGTATAAAAAATAAAAAAATGGCATAAGGGTCATTTCTTTACACAAACTGGGAAATAATCTCTTAATTAAACGCTCAAATTAAATTACGTTCTAAGGCAGAAAAAAGATGGACCTTAGCATGAGCTGGTTTGCATCATAGCAACCTCCCTATCTGCCCTTTGGAGTTTGCGATAAATTCCAGTTGCTGAGGAACTTCGAGAAAGATCTATTTATGTGTTTTAGTTGACTGATTTATGACAATTTTCTCAGCTTCGTCCCAATCAAGAATCCGAGTTATTCTCTAGTATATGGCGCAAGAGATATCTTTCTTTTTTCGGTTGGTTACATACTAACGGTAATACCGCAACATTTTGACAGTTTTAAAACTCTTTTTTGTCTTTTTTTTTTCATACAGAACAGTTGGCTGAAATTGAACCCGCTGTTAACACGATGTTTTTTCATAAGTCATCCTTTCGTCCTATGTCACTGAATTACTGCGAACTCAGTCTTGCACCGTTCTTTGTTGCATGAATTCTGAGCATTGAAAGAGATGCCCTAAATATCATACAGACTTGCAAAACTGGTTGCCTATTTTTGTTGCAGATAAATATTTTACTAATAACGATACTTTTCAAAGTTTTAAAAGACAAAGAAATGAAATGAGCGAACCCCAAAGACATGTAACACCAGATTCATTACTAATGATAAGAAATATTTCTCAAATGCAGAGTAGCTAAAACATAAGTTCATGAAAACCGAGCGTTCAGCTTCACTGAAACTCTGTTGTTGAAATGCTGTTATAGCTTTTCACCCCATCCATCCTCTATGATTCCAATATTTCAGGCCTTCCGAGATATAAGGATGAAAAAAACAGTTACTGCCAATACAGGGCAGAATGCTGTCCGGTTCAAATTTCATTTTGCTATGGACTACTGGGGCACAGTACTTTATCATTCTTTCAGACTGAAAATCTAAATAAAAAAGCTAATTCAGTAATCGACGATTTCTTTTTAGGACAAGTTAACAGTGTCAAAGGTATGTACGTGATCACAATTTAATAGGTGGTTCAGTTCTCTTTGCTTGAAGACAATTGGCGAAATGATAGTCTTTCGTTCGAAAAAAAAAAGTGCACTAGTCTTTTATTTTCATAAAACTCAAACTGAATTCTCACCGAAAATTTCCTAAACAAATATTTAAGTTATTCAAAGCCTTGATAGAATCATCCAGTGGGGGTTAATCAAACCTATTTAGTTGTTAAGTTGACGTATATTTTCTCGTTTGTAAACATAACAGAGAATGCCTGTAATAACAGCAAAGTGCAGTTGATAACGAGGTTAACTTACGTCTCCGGGGTCAAACATGAAACTCTCTACTGACTTCCTACCCTCAACTGATTTCGAAGGGCAATTTGTAATTCTTTCAGAAATTTCAGTAGCTTTCTTTGTTTGTGTGAAGGTGGAAGCGGAAAGAAAAAAAGGGGAAAAGAGCTGATCTTGAAGATTTCGGACGATCTCGCATTCTTATAAACTAGATGCACGCTGGAAACTAAAAATAGCCAATTGGAAAATTTTAGTACGTAAGTGTCAAGTTTTTACATGGGGATGACGATTTTTCAAAATAAACTATTTTAAGCCAACTGCGTGCCACCAGCTTGCAAATAGAGTTTGCAAAAAACAAAAGTGAGAAAATACAAAAAAAATTCTGAAATAATGATTACGATAAGTGCGACTATCAACGAAATTTTCTCGAGTAGAAAAAGCGCTTTTCATTTTCTACGGATCGCGTGAAAGCCCGATCGCCTGTTACGTATTTTGCACCTCGTTTTAGATATGCGCCAAGTATAGTGCGAGTAGAAGACTTTGAAACACGCTTAGCTGTAATGAATCGGATACGTTTTAATTAAGCTATTTAAGCCGGTTTCTTAATAACGGCCTTTGGTCAATAAAAGTTTTTTTATCTAAATTTGCGTGATCGATACATTCTCTGCTGGAACTTAGGAAGTTTATTTGTGGTAAACCGCTGTCTAAAAATATCACATCTTGTTACTTTATCTACTTGTTTTTAACTACCGCGGCAGCGTTAATCGTCTTTGAAAACAATATAAATTCAAAAGCTTATACTAAAGTACACCATATCGGAAATCTCTGTGTAATTGTTCTGTTTATTATGTTTTCTTTCATAGCAGCTGGCGCATTTTTCATTTCTGGGTTTTACTGCCTTCTCTTCCAGTTCTGACTCGCATTTCTTCAGAGCAATAGATTTTGCTCTCATAGTTGAAGTGTTACCAAAATTTTAAGGGCTTATGAGTACGGCTAATTTGTCTTTTTGGGTATCAGAGTTTGTTAGATGAAATAATCTGAGGAAGTCGTACATAATTGAACTTCTCGCTTACACAAAATTAAAAACTATTTTCCCTGAAAAGCGTTTTCCAGTCACTTACTTTAAGCTGCTCTGTCAACCCGGCTTTCCAAACACTATAGGCTTCGAACAGTTCTTCATTTCTATTTCTGTTTCCAGTTTGAGTAAGGGGAGCTTAATTTCGGATTTGAGATAAATCCGGCTCTGCATGTGGAAGGAAAAAGGAGAAGTGTAGCTCTTTCTGATCCAGCTATGCAACGCCATACCTTCCGTCTTTTCTCTACTATCTATGAGCTGCTTCTTAATTTATCATGGCTATCGCAGTTTTCCAAACATTCGCTTTACACAGTCTATCAGACAAGATCAGTACGAATAAAAAGCTATCAGAAGCGGTAAAAATCGATTTCAAACACGTTCTTTCGTTTTAAATCTTTATTTTCTCAAGTCATACGGAAACGCCACATCTACGTGACCAAGTCCAAGAAGATTCCAAGACGAGATGGAATTCGCTGGTAAGTAAGCTAAAGACACACATCGGTCTCTTAATTCGCGTCATGTTGTCAGTTTTGCTTTCAGGAAGCTGGCGGTCGGTTGGTAATTATCAAGCGGAAGAAATATTTGACATGGTGAAAGATAACCTTGCGCGCTAAAAATATCATTGCTTTTCTAGCGTGCTGTTGTTACGCAATAACTCTGTTGTGTTTCAATGACGAGCGAAGAAAATGGACCGTGGGCGATCGAAGAGCTTGTTTTCTTTACCGGATGTTCTTTCTCAAGGCATTGGATAAGATAAACATTTGAGAAGGTAATATTTCCAGGAATTTCATTAAAGCAAAAATGCAAAGGAATGGCGATATTAATGATTGGTACAAAGACTTTCGTAATGGTCCTTTCACTAGCAATGTAGCGTCCAATAATACGGTTTCGGAAGAGAACATTCTTTTGCTAAACATGTTTTGCAGCTTGTTTTCCAGACATCTGTCGCGACGTGGCACGGTAAGCAAGCATTTTTTTCACAACAACTTAATTGTTGAATGGAAGATTTTAGCCGACTGCGTTTACTTACTAATTCATGAAAAAGAAATTTGATTCAGGAAAGGTAACTTTAACTTGTAGATTTCAACGTTTCAGAGAGAACAGCATGATATAAAATGAGTAGAGTCGATTTTCCGTTCTGATACAGTACCGACCAAAGCATTTCAGTTCACTTATACCCTGCAACATAATCCGTACTCAGATACAATGAAATATATGAAGTTCATATATTTTGAACTGCGGTATTAGATACGTATGATGCACGATCCTCGCAGTAAATAGCGCTATTTAAGCAATAGCGCTATTTACTGCGAGGATCGTGCATCATACGTATAATCCGTACTATATTTTGCATTTTATAAACAAGCTCCTTACAACAAGCCTTTTACGTTTCGATGAGTTTCTATGTATAGACCAGCCAGAGTTCCATTAGCGCCATTTTATTATTTACAGATCTGTAAAAGTTAATTATCGCAGATTTCTATTTGTGGGCGGGTTCTGACACAGACATACTACCTCTAGTGGTCTCATTTTCAATGCTAGCTGTACTATCTCAGTACACAAGTTAATTTTGGATAACTCGAATATTAGGCAAAAGGCAAACTTAAGAAGTTACTATATTATTGACTCTGATGCAGTTCCGACTGAGTTATCAAAAGTAGTAAAGCTCCTCCAATCGGCTCTTGTTTAATTATTTTACCATATTACCTGTGTTTGCGTCTCCAGAGGAACCTCTCGGACTCAATAACATCATTATTTTGCCTAGGAGATGCAGTGAACTCTGTTGTAATGAATACCTTTACGTGTATGGAAAGGCATAATTATCGGAACAAAGGTTAAGCATCTTTTTCTGTAATGGAGAATCCTACTGAGGTCGAGAATCTCTTTCTCGAGTAGAGACCTTTTCTGTCGAGACGTCGAAGAATTTTGTTTTCTTCGAAATGAAGAATGTTTTCTGGAGTCAGGGGTCGAGAGTTTCTTACTTTCTCCTTGCTATTTTTTACAAGGAGAAAATTTTTTCTCGTGCCTTAATTTTTTTTCTTTAAGTCAAAATTAGTTTACACTTTCTAAGATTCATCATGGCTTCTTTTTCATCGTCTAGATTTTCATTTTCTCTCTTCATCTTCCCGTATTTCTTTTATGATCAATAATCAGCTCTGTCCGCCCTTCCTGTTTTGTTTCTACTAAGTCGAGTGGGTGGAATTTGGTTTTCCGGAGGGACGTTTGATCGATCAGCCTTTGCCTTATAACTGACAAGTGTTTGACCATCTATTGAACAGTTCAGACTAGGGAAATGAGATTTTAATTGTCAAATTGCTTTTGATCACATCAGAGGTCAAAGCGTTTTTATGCAAAGGTTTTTGTAATCACCATAAATCGAGATAAACGATTTTTAATGACACGAGCAAGTCATGTAAGTAAGCCTTGCGGACGAGTTCAATGAGCCAAGAAGCGAGTTAACAGAAATTCGTGTGTAACAACCATTTAAATGCCATAAGAATGAAGAACTGGCATCTTGTTTACTCTGGCAAAGCGTGAAAAAGTATTCCGAACTAAAAATAACTAAACACCAGTGCCTTGGTACAAAATACAATAAGGGCACAATGTGAAAAAGAAACATGTACACGCGGTAATTGTCAATCCAATTTATGATGATAAACACGAAAAAAAAAAGAAGATAAACGTATATGACACAGAGTTGGATTAAGAATTATCAGCTAAATCTAGGCGATTCGGTTAAAGAAAAGTATAACCAGATAGCTTTGGAAATGCCAAGTTTTCAGAAGGAGGGAAAGGTTAATTGAGGATTGAAATTAATTTGTTCCACTGTCAGGCAGGTTGTCTATGGTAGCGACATTGCAGACAGGATAATTTAATCAGTATTTCATCTGTCAGATTTAAGATGAAAGATGAAAGAATATTCTTACACCTCTCTTAAAGACCGCCTTTTTCCTTTTTCGAAATTTGGTCTTTAAAAAAAAACCACACGCGCTTGCCACGCAATTTTTTAGCACAACTACATGCGCCACATTCCTGAAAGTCGATGAGGACTTAAAACACTATTCACAGAAATGCGATTGCGGCCATAATCGACAGCTGGTAAAATAAGTGACAAATACATAAGAAGCTCTTTAATTGTCACATGACCACCAGGAGAGCGCGCGAATTTCTTCCATCTTGCTTACACGAAGAAGCAACTTAACGAGTTTTGGAAGAAGTCAAGTTCGATGTGCATGGGTGGGCGCGGTGCCCTTTAAGCATTAGTTCCCGTGAGAAAAGAAAACACAAACGGGGAATCGAGGAAAAAAAAAATGTATAAGTAAAACAAAAAACACTTTCTCTAATTTGGAAAAAGCTAAGGGGATTATTTGGCGCTGAAAGAAGGGATTACATCCCTAATTGAGGTTACTTGAAAATGCTCTGATCTCAGATTAAGGTCGCCGGGAGAGGAAGTCTGCACAAGGAAAGCATTAAGGGGGGCGTGATTTGTCTGGGTTTCACGATACGGACAATATCCTTCGCGACAAAGGCACAATGACAACATACTCAGCGTTGTGAAAGCAGATCAGTTTTAGGTAAAAGAGTCCTGCTTTCACCTTAGCAATCAAAGAAGATAAGACAGATAATCTATTTTTTCTTCTGCACGCAAATTTGGATTGAAAAGGTCCGCCTCGCTAACAGTAAAAGGCACAGTGAAAATGTTTGCTCCTTTTCTTTAGACTATGGAGTGAAGTAAATTTGTTTAAGTAGACGTAAACTTTGTTCAAGCTGGAAGAAGTGCATAATTTCATGTCTAATTATAACAAACCCATCAGCAGGATATGACGACATGAGGGAAGATATATATCCTTCGCTGAGAACATCAAATTGTGCAAACTTAATTTATGGGATAATGGATTTATAACATAATCCTTACCACTAAAAAAAACATTACCGCTAATCACTATGATTTACGAATCGGAAAAGTCATTTTTCAGCTTAAAATAGTTTGGACTTCAAAGATATCGATAGAAAAAACGAGATTATGGAAAAGAAGAGACAAAAAAGGAAAGTACCTAGCTACTCAATTTTGTTTATTGCAGATCTTCTATTTATGGATAATTTTTCTGGAAAAAGATGATAAAATTAGCAAAAAATAATCCTGTAAAAAGTTTAATTGAAGGAAAATTCAATTAAAGATATATCAAAATGAAACAAATGTCCGGTGTCTTGGGCGAACGACGACAGTAAAATCAATAGTAACTGCGCTATCTTTCATTGACAACCTTCTCAATCCATTCGATAAACAACAGTCCTCTTTTAAGGTATTACATTTGCGCAAAATTTGCAGAGCTCTTCTGTCTGTACATACATAATAAACTCTGAAAATGCTCACGGAAAATTGAACTAAAAAATATCAGATTGAAAGATACATAAATCAATAAAGAGAAAACACATTTGGAGAAATATTCATGGTGTAATATTAAATTTTGACACTAGGCTAAAATGTTCTTTTCTTTTGTCAGGCTTGGATTGTTAGTTTGAAGATGAATCCTCCACCCTCCAAACAAACATTTGACGCATATGAACCAAGTATACGACGCATTTCGCCTACCAACCTTTTCCTAGTGTACATTTGCAAATGAGGTGATGTTGGCACAGGGCAGGAAGGGGGAGGGGGGGGGGAGATTCCTAATTTAGCTTTCTGCTTCTATTGCGTCTCTGTAACTACCTGCTGACCATCTGGAAAAAACTTTTTGCCAACGAGTTTGATTATACTTCATTTAGTAGAGCATCTTACACCGAAATCCCACAATTTGACGTTCGAATTGTCGTGAGACTCTGATTTATTTCCTGTACCACGCTAAGCCTTGTGCTAAATGAATAGCATATTTCTTTGTACTACACCCAAGCTCAAACTTTTCCATCTTTTACCGTAGCAATTTAAACATTTAACACAGGTCTTAAGGTGTTCAGACATTATTTTTTTACTTCATTTTGTGACAGTCGAATGCAATCTGATTCTCTTCTCAGTCATATGCGTTATGCTGGGAACTGTGATCAAGAGCACCTCAAAGTTTTTTCAGCCGTCTGGAGCAGCATAAGGAATCGTCCTGAAATCCAGAGCAACCCTTGTTTGCTAACTATATGGACAAAACCACTAACTAGGGCGGAAAAAGAAACCTGCTTGAAACAAACATGGTTGTGAGCTAAAAAGGAGAGATTTTGAACAATTTACGAATAATGCTCTGTATCACTCATTCAGAGTTACGTAACGGTTTCCCCTAAGTTCGTTGTGAATGAACAGAAGCGCCCTCAAAACATGAATGTGAAGATTTCATATCATAATCTTTGACCATGAGGAGATAAGCTATTGAGTTTAGGATGTCAGATTGTTCTTCGATTAAATAAACTAGCGCAGATAGGTATATAGAAGGAATAAAAGCTTCACAGGAACGATCAAACGATCAATCGAAGCGGTTGCACAAACTAAATTTTTCATTGGCGCAATAAAGGTTTGGTTTTTTCGTTGTGAAAAAGAAAAGACAGTTTCGCAGGAAAAGCTACAAATTAACCAGAAGTATCTTCCTCCTAAATTCACATTGACAATGAACGATAAAAATTCGGCGAACTCGACCAACTCATGGGCGTTTATGTAAACATTCTCATCAAGCGAAAACGTCCTTGTTCCTATTCAGGAGTGGAACGCGACCAGTTATGAAATCGTAAGTCAATCTGACAATAGTGGGAAGCAAAGTGAGTGCAAACCAGAAACAAATTTGTAGTGGACTCTAAACATCTCTTGCTTTTTAATTAGCTGACTATTCTTCACATTTAGGGGCTTAATTCATTCCTTCTCTTTCTTCATTAACTCACACTCTACGTTGAAATAAGCTGTTGTTCTTTATTGACTAGTATTAGTAGGGTGGTATTGCAAGACGTGTTGGTGAACTTCTAAGCCTTCGTTAGTCTCTAGAACGCTTAGCGCACCAATTAAAAACTCAACTAAAAATAAAAAAATAAAACATTAAGCGAGTTATTTGCGCGTGACTTCAGGCTTTTGGGATGCCTTTCAGCCATTTCCTGCGTTCAGATCTTTCACAGACATCCAAGCTTCGAGGAATAGAAGTTGAAGCGACGGTTGTTGAAAGACGAAAACTTTTACGTTGTCAAAACCCACATTCTGCGGTGAAAATCACACTTAAAGATAATGATAAAAATCAAGAAAGTATTCTCGTGCTCGGAAATCCGCGTCGCCTTGATCTTTCCGTTTTACTAGAGCGAACAAAAACGCACTGTTTGCAAATGACTTTGGCAACTAACCCAGACGCTATACGGACGGTTTTTACCCACAGCTTTGGTCATGGAAGGCTTGGCAGTTCACTGAAATGAATAAGAGTTTCATCTAATTGTTACGAGTAAGCGACTAACGTTCCCCATATCATCTACATTTCTGTTCCTGACTTCTGCTATTCCAAATCTCATTTTTATGCATAATTCATCAAGTTGTTCTCTCGCTATCGCACATTTTCATAACCAACTTCTGTAGCCGGTTAATCATTATATACAATTCTCTTTTTAATAAATTTAATTCTTATTTCAAAAATCTGTGATGATGACAGTCGCAGCCATGGCTTGCAACTAGAAGAATCATACCATCGAACATGGCGAAAGCCTTTTCTATGTTCGTAAATTCGCGTCTCCTGTGGTCTTCTGGTTTGGCATAGCATATAAAATCGCACTGTCTAAAACAGATCTTGAAAACCTAATCTAGGGAAAGATGGAAGGTGGGTTTTCACCTGCACTTCTGTCATGGACGCTTGAGAGTTTGCCTCGAAACGCCTTGAAGTATTACCGACCATATTTTACCAGTAAGTGACAATCATCTACTATTTTCAACAAGGTTGCTTCTCTTGACTACAGAGAGTCTTCTGTTACTCATCTGTTTAGCAAATATTCACTACTCATTTGTTTTAACGATATCTAGTTGTTCGTGTTTCTTTAACTGACTTCTTTGTTAGAGTCATTGGTACAATTCTTCCTTTCATTTGTTTAATGTTATATCTTTTTTATAGTCTCACTTGAAAGGAGATCCGTGAACATCGCTCGCAAATTGTGAATTATGACCAAAGCCATCACTGTGATCGACTTATTGTCGAATATTACCATTTATTTTCTGACAAGTTTCTTTAATTGACTTCTTTATAACATTTATCGTTTAAAATTTTCCTTAATTCTATTTTTGCAGTGTTCTCTTGAGTTCAACGAAGAAGATTTCTCGTAAAGGATACACATTCCACTTAAAATACCTTTGTTAACTGCAGGCTAACTTATAATTTTTATCTTATTATGCAAAAGAATAAATATGTTGCTATCGTTTTTGTTACTGCTGTTGCAGAGTTTGCATATGGCATATTGCCCACTTCTTCGCTTTTAAAACACATTGCCCCAACAGATCTCGTATCGAGTAAATCGATACAACCATCGATATGGCACCTTATGTAGATACATCTCTAGATTAGATTACAAGAATACTTTGCTTGATTATCCATCTGCTATTTTATAACCCACCCAAGGCGAATCCTTTCCTGTCGTACTCGCCGCTGTCCAAAACGTTTAGCATGAATTCCGCCACATCTGCGCGAGACATCCAAATCTTTGTGCCTGTGTTACATTGTCCCTCTTCGACTTTATACTTTCCAGTCCGTTTACCTACAAAATACGTTTCATCCTCTTGTCAGTATTTGGACGCAGAATATCAGTGGAAGATATCGTTATTTTCCTTCACGTGACATGCTGAAATCCAACGAAATAACAGAAAGCGAGATTTTCATGCATAGGTGATCGGAGCCCGAGATGTGAGCTTAGATACGTCAGCTGGGTTAAAATGATATTGTTACTTCTCCCTATAAAAGATTTCGTTTAAAGAGAATGCAATGGAAATTCACCTAAGGCGAAATTTAGCTCTAAATGTGCAAATCTTGTCAACTTCAGGGTCAAGTTTGTTGTTACAGATTCACAAATACAAGAGATGAACTCTGAGTATACTCATCCAAGAGTACACTCACAGCAAAGTGAATTCTTTGAACCACTGAAAAGTTGAGCTAGCAATAGTTGTCAGGGTGAAGCTAGTCCTAAATGGACTGTTTTCTGTGACAGAGTCACCATGGGACATGCACACCCTGCAGACTGAAGAAAACTCTTTATACGGCGTAGGAGATGTAAATGAACTCATGTTAAATATGCTGGACTCAAGCTAAGGGGGGCCTGGCATGTTCACTGTGCTCTGTTCTTGGACAGAACAGTTTACTCACATAGTGCCTCTCTCCACCATCACCATTGGGATCAAGGAAACCTGCTGGGGGAGGGAGTGACTTTAAATGGTCAAACGTCCCATTTAAGTATTTTCAGTCACTCAGTGTTGATAAAACTGTAAAACATTTCTGACAGAATGGAAAACTTGGAAAGCTGGAAAAGGAAATGGAAAGCTGGGATGCACAGGTTTCAGAGTTTTCAACACCCGTGACAAAAATTGATGTTTTAAGATCGCAAGGGGAGGACAGCACTAGTTTTAATAATTGTGACTTGGTCTTACACTAATAAGCTAAATTATTATCCAACTGTGCTTTGTAGAGTACAAACAATGTGCAAGATGAGTACAAATATCACGTTATATTTGTGCTCCAGAAATACCCGCAAAATTTGTTCACGCTGAAATAACAATTTAGCGAGCTGGATAATAAGTCTCTTATTAGACATTTTGTTGTGTAGTATTGCTATGTACTTTTACTCGTTGTTTGTATTTTGATTCGCCCGACAGGTTCGTCAAAATACAGTACAACTCATAAAAATATTCTGTGATACTACACAACAAAACATCTAATAAGATATATATATTCAGCAACATGCAAGTTAGAAGGAAGCACAACTTACATGTGGTATTCTTGGGTCTTAAAATTTACTTCAAGGTGACTACGAGCAGTCCTACCTTTTCAGGGTGTGACGAACTTTGCAAAAAAAAGAGGGACTACTCTTAGTTTAACTTAAAGAGGTAACATGTTGGATTTGAAAAACAAAATGAGTACAGAAAGGGTGGGGGAAAACATATGAGAGGAATTCTTCTCCCTCCCTTGGCCCATTTAACCCCTTCCAGTTTTGTTTACTCCAAACCCAGTTCTTTCTAGCCTTATTCTTGCCAATGAAGATGGAAAATGGTGCCCACAAAATCCACGGACAAGTAATGACTGTTTGATCATGCTCATTCATAAACCTTAAATACAGCATGCCTAAACTGCAGGCAAGCCATCAAATTGATCCATATCATGCAGCTTACCATTAGTTAATCCACAAGGTCTGATAATTGTGTAGTTTAACTCCTGGGGGTCAGTTTTCTCAATCATTTTCTCCATGGTAGTCATGTCTTTTATCATTCCACTAAGGAACAGTGGGTTTATTATCCAATCCGCCAACCAACGGTTATTTGGCCCTGGTTGAGTACACCACGCTGTCATAACTGCAAGTCTTTTAACTCCATTCCTGTCAGTGGAATAATTTAGATAAATTTAGTCCAATGAGCAGGAACAGACTACTTTTGTAGGCTAAGGAAGAGATGAACCTAATATTTTTTAGTGTTCCTGTATCTGAGGATAGACCCTAGTTTCAGGAGATGTATCATTGACTTTCCAAAAACTTCAAGAGAAGTGGGAACATTACGTAAGAGGGTCTTTTTGCTATGGGTGGGTGGTTCTAAGGTTGCAAATTGCCCTGGGTTAAGTATGTTGGGTCTAGTTGAAACTAATTTTTTTGTGCAAACATTCAAAATATTTCATTGTCTGTCTAAGAATATAACTCCTCATAAATTTAGGTTTAATACTAGTGAACTATTTGATGTCAAGTGAATTGGCCAGAATTATGGTGGCAATGATATACCGGTAATCAAGGATAACTATTCCTCACTAGTAGGAAGAAATACAGATGATTGACGCTGCCATAAATACAGAAGCCAAACAGATAAATGGACATCATTTAAGATTATCTTGTCATTGTTGCAGAAGGGTTCACCAGATGTTTAGAATAAAAGGATTACAGTAAATTCTAAGGGGACTTATTTTGCTTAAACAGGAAGATCATCTGTAAATTTTAGGTGAAATAAAATTGACACTTCAATTAATAAAATGCCAAAGAGAGGGGTGGATTTTGTGTAATATTGTCTAATCTCTTTACTTGAGAGGGAACTGTCAGAAATTGTAGAAGGTTAAAAATATTGGGATTAAACCAAATTATGCAGGGATTCCTTTTAATCTACAAGGAAAACATTTAGCTAAGAAACAATTGACCCTTCTATCAGTATATGAGCTTAAGATGTCTATTGATGTCATTTAAAACTGTCTAATTGGCATACATGGATGGGTTTTCATTTGCGCGTTGCTGCATATCAAGTCAAAAGACGATTCTGCAAGGATTACTGTTCTGAGGCAACCATTGGAATTTTGTGTTCCACCTAAAACTGAATGGAAGTGATTGGTTCAAAATGTTGCTAATGATGGTGTTCATGAAAAGAGATGCAGCTAAAAAAACTAATAACATTTTTTAGCTTATTGAGTCAGAGCTCTATTAGCAACATTTGACTTAAGAAATAAAGAAATTAATCCATTATCAATCAGACATAACTGTCAATAAATTAGAAAGCAGAAGGCAAATACTAAGTGGCCAAGTCAGAATACACACAGGAGTGGGAACTATTCAGTTAAAATATCCCAGGTGTTTCACAAAGTGCAAAAGAAACTTTGAGAGAATGCCGAACATTGAATGGATTCACACATCAAGCCAGTTACTGGTAAATAATCTTTCAGTTCCATTCAAAAGTGGGAAATACCTGCTGGACGAGTTTCAATGACAGTATTTTAAAACTGTAAGAGGAGTAATTGAAGTATTCATCGACTATATGTCAAAGCTAGATTACGTGTGCTGTACGACTTCTATCTTTACGATAAATACTTCAACTACATGGTAAACAAATCCACATAATATTGTCAGTACAATATACTCAAGTGTACACACCTTTTCATTCCCTCCAAAATGGCAAACATGGACTCCGAATAAAAAGTTGTTGGGTTGAAGATACTTGCAAAAACTCCTAAACACGAAATCACAGCATCCTTCCCCTTCAGTGAAGCAGAAAAACTCTCTACTTCACAAGCGTCGCCTCTGACTAGCTCTAAATTGGGATGCCTAAAAAGTAATTTAGCATAGATAGATTATTACATTTGATATCCTACATAAACTTGTTCGAGGCCTGATCAGCTGAGAACCATAACAAATTACGGTCTTTTTGTCCAAGTCTTTTCATCAAAAAATTTTTCCATCTAAGTCTGTTCGTCTAATTGTTAAATCTTTTCTCAAAGCAAATAAATAACTTTTAGAAGGCTAGATAAGGCTATATAAAGAACTCACTTAGTGCAAGCCTTTGCCATTTTGGTTCCTCTAGCTTTAGTCACCAATCCTTGTTTATGAATTCAACAGCGTGAATTATGATAAATACACAGAGATGCTTATTTGAGGTCATCTTTGGCTTAGTTTTAGATCTTTATCATGTTGGACTGTTGTTGTTGGTTATGCAGTAAATGGTTTGAACCCGAAGGTAACATGTGAAAGTGTCGTGTGATCATTCGGGTGAGTGTAGTCCTGAGAACGACTGTTGTCAGTGATGGTGACTGATGTTTCGACAAACTGTGCGGAAGTCATCATCAGAGTCAAGTGACTGTTGTCGGTGGTGGTGACTGATGTTTTGACAACCTGTGC